TAATAATAATAATAATAAGTGTGGTCATTATCTATTTGGCTTGATTAATATATATATATATATATATATATTTAGGCTTTTATTTATTCTCTTACTTTTGTCATTGTTTATCTTATATATAATAGTTAGTGATTGATTTTTTGTATAATAGAAAATCATTAATTATTAAAATAAAATGTAAAAAACTCAATTTATAGTTATTTAAAAATATGAAATATATTGGATCAAACTCAAAAATTTATAAAAATTGATCGATATTTATTTTAAAACCCAATAAATATGATCATGGAAAAAAAAATGTGCGTATCGGTAAATTTTTTTCAAATTGTGCGAAAAATAAAAAAATTCACGGTTCTGGTTACTGCAATCGTTACGCTACGGCCTTTACACCCTGCAACCGCAACTGCGCCACCGCCACTGTTACGGCGACCGCAACCGCTTTTCAGAACCTTGGGTGGAGGGGATGAGGTGCTATCTCTAGCTATGTTATATAGGCTCAAAATAAATTAAATGCCAATGTCGGACACTTGACATTTGGACAAAGGTGTGAAATATGTGTTTGATACTTTCAATCGGACACTTCTTATATATTTGTTTATTTTTAATACTATCTTATATGTTTATGCTAATTGTACAATTGCTATAAAATAGCTTTTTGATGTTGTATGTAACATATAGCACAATCTTGTCTCGCATAATAGATTAAAAATATAAAAATATGATCTTTTTTTGCTCAGTTTGCGTACTCTTAAATTTGAGATTTGATGGATCCGAGTTCTAGATACGTACTCACGCCCAACACCCACACTCGAGTCCATATAACATAGATCTCTGGCTACAATAATGACTTACATAGGTGAGGTTTTAGTTGGCTAGTGATATATAGGAGCTTTGTTATCATAATCTTACGATTCATGATTCATGTATAAATTGATGTGAATTTATGAGGGAGAATCTATTTGAATTTTATGATTCATGATTCAATTCACATCCTAGATCTTCCAGTCACCATAGGTGCTATAGAAAGACAGTGGAGGAGTATTTTCTTTTTCAAACAATGAAGGTTGGGGATTACTTGCTGGAAATGTTTAGATATATTGATCTAGGAGTAGGGATTACTTTCATTAAAGTAGTGAGCCTGGGTTAAGTATACTAGTAGTAGCAACAATAGACTTATAGGGTTGGATTTGGTGGGATTTTGTGGTTGCAAAAGTATTTAAAAAAATAGGAGTTTAAGGGTTTGTAAAAAGGTAGCGTTTCGGGATGAAAACACAAGTGTTTAGGGGTAGTTGGATGGTTGTTCTAAGTACTGTGAACAGTAATCTTGTTAGATAGAAGAAGAAGAAGAAGAAGAAGAAGAAGAAGAAGAAGGGGAGGGAGAGAGAGAGAGAGAGAGAGAGAGGTGCTTCACCCTCACAAGGGATAGATTAATCACACAAACACAATCTCAAATTTTCATAATATTGACTGTGCTATTGAATCATTGAGATTATATATATATTTATAGGCTAAAGACTCTTAATTCTATAAGGATTATTTCTCAAATTTAGAACTAAAAATATTTAGCAACTACTAATATTCTAGACTAACTATGACTTCCAATTCTATTTCAATCATAATAAGAAACTTTAATGACTTCTAATTCTACTTCAATATAAAAATAAAAAATTTGGACTTTTGATCACTAAGATTTTAGACATAATAAAACCCATATATAATAACCCATTTAATAACTTGACCCAAAATAAAACTCATGGGTGATCCCTACAAGGCTACAACCCATGTCCATCAATTATTGGAATTACCATTATACCCTTAATTACTAAAACCTACTGTAATGACATGAAGACTCAAAATTTTTCAAAATCTTTAATTTTTGATGCCCTAAATGTGCTTCATGTGAAATTCCATATATGCTCTTTTTTGTCTTTCCATGATCTTCATCATATACACGAGCTGTTTGAGATCTTCAATGATGGTGTTCATTTAATCAAAGCTTTTTCTAGGCTAACTTAATTACTCTTGCTATCGTGCCCAATGACTCATAAGGTTTAGCTCAAACATTTTGGCTCTTGAGAATGGTTGCCGTCTAAAACTTGATTGGCAAGACCTCAAGGGGTTTTTGCTCAGCTTATACAAGGGTTGATTGTTGTTCATTGGAGATTAATGAAAGAATAATTCTATGTATCCACCCTTGTCTACCCCGAATTTACCCCAAATGAGATTGTGTGGTTGTGATTGAATGTGTGGTGTGGGGTCTATTTGTAAAATAAATCTGAACCATAAGATAATAATTCGGAGTAATTTTGAAAGTTGAGCCTGGGTTTGTAGTATTACTGTTAATGAAAATGTATTGTGATATTTATAGTGTTTGGTATTATTAACTGATTTGGCTTTTAGATAAGGACTTGTGGTCTTATCCTTCAGCTGACTGCACGCTATCTAATTGTCTCATTTTGGATTACTTACGGTGGTACTTGGTTGGCGCTCAAGTTGGTCCCCTTGTTATCTATCTCTATTTTCCGTAGTCGTGAATTGAAATGGCCTCGTACCACATCGCGAATCGAATCGTGAATTGTAAAGATTCAGTCACTTTTTTTTAAATTACTTAAAAACATATATCTACATATTTAGATGTTAATATATCTTATGAATATGAAATATTTAGACTTAAATCAATGAAAATATTATTTTGAATGATAATCACGTAGTTTAATAGGTAAGAAGTTAACAAAGGTTCCTATGTAAGATCAATATCATATCTTTTTTCTTTTTTAGACAACCATTCTTAATAAAGATAATAACCAAATAGACAAACTATTAATTTTCGAAGTAACAATAATTAACAACAATATGGGTGTTTGGGAAGTGGGTTTTTATGTAGGTTTTTTTAGTTGTAGGATATTATTGGAGAAATTTTTTTTCTGTTTGGGAAGATAGTTGGGTTTTTTTGTGGTTGAATGTGATGTTTGTGAGAGAAAAAGTGAAATGATTATGGGGTTTAATGTGATATTTTGTTTGGATTTGTTTTTTTGGTTTTGCAAAATCTTTGTCTTTTAGTGGAAAAAATCCAAAAAAATCCAAAAAAAATTATTGCCAAACACCGCCAATATTGATTAGTAAAAACTCCATGATTACTAAAATAAAATCATGTATATGTTGGTTATTTTAGTATTAAACGCTATTAGAAGTTGTATTATGTCATTTTCTCTAAAAAGATGGAGAAAAAAAGAGTTGAAAATCAGTCGGACACAATAATTTCAAAAATTGTATGAATCGTAAAAAGTTAATTGAATCGTGAATCGATTTTGAATCATGCGATTCACTAGAGATTCACTTCCAAAATAGATTCACCCATAGATACATATCGATTTTGCAACAATTGCGAATTGAATCGTGAATCGAATCGCGAAGCGTAAGATTTTGATAATAGAGCTATTTTCTATCTGACTGTCTTTGGTGCCTTGTGTGTAGCCCTTCTTTCTAAGTTGATAATAATATACCATTCATCGTGTAGATTAGCAATCTAGAGTGCCAATGGATTATGTTTTTGGGACCCCTTAAGTATTCTATTCGTCAAGCACTAGTGATCGTCTCTCGCTTGTTCCGTAATACCTTCACAATATTTTTTGATTTCCACTTTTTTTACTAGCTTTCTTCAGTGACTTATTTGATTTGTTGCTGGTTAAACTCCATTAAATCTGAATGGGTAGTTTTTTTCCCCCTGTTGAGGCCTTGCTTTTCTTGTCAATTAGGTTTATTATCCACTGATCCTCAGGATTGCAGCCTCCATTAGATTCCAATTGAAAACTGGATTGCCATCACATACATAAGATTGATTAATTGATTGAATAAAGCATTAGTACACTTCACACTGGGGTTGACATTGCTTTGGCTCATCATGCTACACTCATGGGAAGCTATGTCTTTGGCAATGCTTTTCTTAAGCTAGATGCATTTCATACTGGCTTGTGTCTTAATTAAGAACCAGATAAAAAGGGATCCCATTAATGACATACCGTTTCCAACCCTTACTTTTCTTGTTGGGCCTTCACAATTCACTTCTTATGCAAGGAGGAAAGTGCAGGGGAGCAGATATTGAGTTGGCAGACATTGCACAACTTGTGTGCAAGATGTGAGAAACTTGATTTTGAGAAAGGAGAGCCTTTATTTGATCATTTTTAGTAAAGGCATGCTAGAGCTTCAGTTTGATTGCCAGTAGTTTTCTGTCCGCTAAAATGTGAAATAATGATGGTGGATTAGCACCTATGAACCAGTTTGAGAGGTGCCTTCCAACAGCTAACCATCACCACTTTAAGTGGGAAGTGCACAAGGTTCTTAATTGAACGTTGGGCTCTTCATAATTCACTTCTTATGCAAGGAGGAGGAAAGTGCAGGGCAGCAGATATTGAGTTGGCAGACATTGCACAACTTGTGTGCAAGATGTGAGAAACTTGATTTTGAGAAAGGAGAGCCTTTATTTTATCATTTTTAGTAAAGGCATGCTAGAGCTTCAGTTTGATTGCCAGTAGTTTTCTGTCCGCTAAAATGTGAAATAATGATGGTGGATTAGCACCTATGAACCAGTTTGAGAGGTGCCTTCCAACAGCTAACCATCACCACTTTAAGTGGGAAGTGCACAAGGTTCTTAATTGAACGTTGGGCTCTCCATCTAGCAAGCACAAGGTTGACATTTTAGTAACTATTCCCTAAATCTAGACTATTGCTTTGTACATGGTTCTTTCAAGCCAGATGCAGATCCACTTCGGACATAAAGCTTGGCCTTTTTTAATTTCTTTTGAGTTAGACACCTTGTCCAAATTTTGTTGCATCTGATTTACATACAGTGAATAATACGCATGATATATTGGGAGCTCATGATGAATAATTCATTATTGATCTTTATTTTTTTATTTTTTATTTTTATTTTTTCATGTCATAAAAGCCATATGATTGTTTAAAACATATTGTGAATCTTGTCTTCTGTTGAATTTGCAGGTCTGATTCATGCGACAATGAATCCTCGTATCACTATTACCACATAAATGATTTGACCTTTGTTATTGATGCGTTAAAGTCCTCAGATACTTTTTTTAGCCCAATATTAGGTGCAATCTCAAAGCAATGGAATATATGTATTAATTCTAATGGAGCAAAATGCGATGTGGACTGCAAAGATGCTACTGTATGCTCAGAACTTGTGAACAGACAAATGCTTTCTACTCCAGTGCTGCCGCTGCATTTGGCACCTTCAGAAACATTTGTTAGGGATGAAATCATTGATGAAAGGAAACCTGAAGAGAATTCTATAGCTGCTCAATATTCTGGTAATACAGACTGTGAGGTTTCTTCATTGGTACATAACAATTTATTGACCGTGAATAATTCTGTGAAGATAGGAAATCCGTTGAAAAGTTGTGTAGTATCAGCTGAAATCTCACAAACTACAGGCATTAAAAAAGGTGATCGTATATCATCCATGATGCTGACCAAAAGGGGTGAAATATCACAAGGGCAACTAGGAACCGGTTATGTGAACTATTATAGTTTTGCTCGAACAGCTTCATTGGTTGCGGAAGAGTTAACACGGAAATCATCAGATAAGAGCACTGATGGCTCTATAAAATCGGTTGAAGATATAATTTCAGCACAGCTGAAGGCTATATCGAAGAAATCTACCAAGTTTTCTTGGCCAAACATTCAGACCCTAAATGCTGATGCTAGGAAAGAAAAATGTGGGTGGTGCTTCTCTTGTAAAGCACCTGATGATGACAAGAATTGTTTTTTCAACATGAATGATTCTGTTTTGGAAGGTTTTACAGGTGAGGTGGTTGGTATTCGTTCAAAACGGAATACGAATTTCCATCTTATTGATGTCATGAGCTATATTCTTTGCATTGAAGATCGTTTGCATGGTTTTCTGCTGGGTCCATGGCTAAATCCACACTATACCAAACTTTGGCGTGACAGTGTTGTCAAGGCATCTGATGTTGCTTCGCTGAAACATTTTTTGCTCATGGTAAGAATTTTCCTCTGTATTGTATTGATTTGACAATTATAGTTCCTGCAAACCGGTGGTGCAATTCGATACGTGTTTGAGTCTGTTGGATGTGTTTTAAGAGCATTGCCCTTAGAGCTGGTCCAGTGTGCATTTTAAATTGATATACTCAACCTGAATTCAATTATGTGTTAAATTCCTTTAGTTCGGTCGAATTCAATTTGATCTTAATTTTTTATTTTATTTTTAAATTTTCAGTTCATTGTTTGGTGCACTACAACAGAACTATATTTGGATGAACTAGTTTTCATAGGTTGATATATGTGTGGGTATATGTATATATATTATATGTGATCAATAACCACAGATATGTATTCTTGGTTAGTTTTATTATGTCAACCAAAGTCTCAGCTCATAGCCTATTCCGATTTCAAAATATTTTTTATTTTCATCAAGTTTAGGGTGGAACATTTTTTAGCCCAAATCAAATTATTGATAGTCTGCTTGATCTTGGTTTGGAATTACCCAAGTTGCTCTTTGTTATGATTGTGTGCTATGTGTGTTTGGTCAGATGTTGCTTCTTGGAATATATGAAGCTGCATCCTGTGATTTTTTTACAACAATTTTTTAAGTATTATTAAGTTTTCCTACAATTGATTGTGGGCTGAGCATAAAGAAATGGAAGTTTATAGGTTGAGTTTGAAAATGTTGGAAAGGTAGACAATGCTTCAACATAGTTGATTTTGAAGATGACAGGTCGTTGGAAATTCTGATTTTTGTTCCTGGAACTTCTTTGCCAACAACTATTTTGGGTTGGTTGACAGGGAGAAGGCTTTTGTGGTAGATAGGTTAGGTTGATGAGGGCATGTTTTTGGTTGAGAAATAAAAGAATTTTGGAGAGTATTAATTGAAGAATATCTCAGGAAGCACTACTGGAATCTCTTGGACGCCACATGTACAGCTTGTTTTGCATTATAAATGCTGCTGGATATATTTTCTGAGTGGACCTCTAATGTCTTGAAAGAATGGGTAGTTACTTGGAGGTTTCTCTTGTAAGAGTAATTAATAACTTGCAGGCTATTAGACTTCTCCTGAAGTACTTAAAACTTTTCATAAGTAATATTAATGCTAAAACCAGTTAAGGTTGCATATAAAGGTCCTGTAACATAGGCAAGTAAAACTAGTAACAGAAGAAACTCCATGGACCACTAATACAGCCAAGGCGTATAGAATTTGAAGTTCGTTAAATGTGACGTTCCTTGCATACTTAGAAGAACATAAAAATTTGGCTAAGCTGAAGTAGCATCCTAACAATCTTGGGGAAATATGTATGGCTCCACTGACAATAATACTTGGTTGTACATATATCTATGTTAGAGGTGAATAAATGAGGGAAAGCCATTTGAGATGATGTGTGGTCATGTTTATCGTAGACCAATTAATTCAACTGTAATTTGATCCCTGTGGAGGTTCATAAAAGAAATAGACGGACATCAATAAGGACATGGATTGAGGTGAAAGGACACTTGAAAGCACTACTAAAAGCAGAGGTGAGTTTAATGACCTGTATGATGTCTAACAAAAACATATGGTGAATGCACATGAATGCCATTTCCAAAACATGCATTTTCCCTTTTTAAACTATGCTATGCCAGAGTTCAATTCACAATTGATATATCTTTGCTTCAAAACAGAAAATAGGACAGTAAATACACATTAGGAATCTCTAGGTACGTTACAAGTAGGCCATAAAAGCACTACCAAAAGTCATTTTACCGGTACTAATTAGAAGAATCAGCACCTGACCGCGCGGGTTTTTAGACCTTCACCAAGGATACAAAGGCTAACTTAAATAACTACATCCACACCTCCTAACTAGATTCACCCCGGTATTTACCCTTTTTTTTCAAAACAACACTTTGCCATGCGTAAGTGTAAAACAATTGAGTAAATGCAATGCATGAGTGAATTGGTTTCAATTAACCTAGTTCTCATACAATTTCTACAACAAACAATGCTATCTTTCATTGATAGCCAATACAGTTATCTCTATTCAATATATTCTAAAATGGACAATATGTACATAAACATCAAGAGTATAACCAATGATTCCAACATCGTCAATCCGATGAAATGTTCTTACCCTTTTCTTAAGAGTTCAACACTTCCAAAGTCTCATGAATTTCCAACTCAACTCAATTCATAGATTCATCATGAAATTCCAATTTTTCCAACAACACCGAGGATTTCTGAACATAGAACAATTCAAGGATTTTGAGAAAAATTTGAGGTTTCTCATTTTAAAAGCAATTTCTCCCAACTTCCAATACCACTCATTATCATAGGCAAACCGACCATACTATAAAGAAAATCATTCCGAAAACCCCTATTTTGTAAACCAAATTATGCTTTAATCAATCCCAATTCTTCCAAAGTGTTAATTACCCAACTAACACATAACAAAGCTAAATAACATGCAAATCATTAAATAAATCTCTACCTCAAAGAAATAGGAAAAGAAGAACCACAAGCAAAATCGATAGCGACGAAAACCCGAACTTTCTAGATTAAAACAACCCCTTCCTCAAGCTCTACCTTTAATCCCAAAGCATTGTGGTAGAGAGATTCACGGATTGAAGTTGATTAGAAGATTTATGCAAAAATTTTAGAGAAGAGGGGTGAGAGCTCAAAGAGAATAGATATTTGTAGAGAGAGAGAGAGAGAGAGAGAGGAATCAAAAAGTGAGTAAAGAGTGACTTTCCTTCTAGCTTTATCCGGACAGACCACTCGAGCGATGAAACCTGCGCTCAAGCGTTAGACACAACATATTGCTCAAGTGAAGAAACCAAACTCCCGGAAGTTTATCTCTGTAGAACAGACAGCTCGAGCTACCGAAACACTGTTTGAGCAAAGAAAACAAACTCTTAGAAGTTCAAATTGTAAATAGGCTGCTCGAGCGACCAAAACGCCACTCGAGCGAAGAAACCCCTACTCGTAGAAGCTCAGGTTGCAACCCAGAATCTGAGAGAAAGGAAAGACCGCTCGAGCAAACTCAAGTTCACATAGCCAAAATCACCCTAGAAAACCAAATTTCCCCGTCTCAACATAACCTAAAAAGAATCCAATCCACAACTCAAAGATAACATAGGACCAAAATAGATATCAACAACATTAATAGGTACCAAACCCAAAACCAAAGAGTATAAAAAGATCGGATCTTAACCCAGGCCGCTATATGCTCTATCTGCACTTTCCCAATCATTGCATCAACTTAACTATAGTCGTCTTCAAAGTAGTTTTTGCTTTCGTATTTCTTCTGTTTTTGGTGTTAATTACAAATGTTGATGGCATCCTGCAGTTAGAGTCAAATTTGCGTCGTCTTGCACTTTCAGCAGAGTGGCTAAAACATGTGGATTCTAATGCTACAATGGGGTCTGCTTCTCATATTGTGATCAGTTCACAACGTGTGTCTTCAAAACATGGGATTGGCAGAAAACGTGCTCGGCTTTCGGATTCAGAGCCCAAGCCTTCATCAAATGCTGCAACTGGCTTGGGTCTGTTTTGGTGGAGGGGTGGGAGGCTCTCACGTGAGCTGTTCAATTGGAAGGTTTTGCCTCGCTCCATGGCTTCAAAGGTTGCCCGTCAAGGTCTGAAACTTTTGTTCTCTTTCATATTTTCAAAGTTTGTTGTTTTTCCTAACTATATAAATCATTCTGAATTTGTTAAAATTCTGCAGCTGGACGTACAAAGATACCAGGCGTATTATATTCTGACAGTTCAGAATTTGCAAAGAGAAGTAAATATGTTGTCTGGCGAGCTGCTGTTGAGACATCAATAAGTGTGGAACAGCTTGCTCTCCAGGTATGTGCCCCTGATTCTTCAATTTTCAATGTGCATGTGTGGGTGTGGCATTGGCTTGTCTGGCCTATTTACCCATGTAAATAAATAACGAAACTCAGATTGCACTAAGAATCTGCTGAGTTCAGTTGGACCAAAATTGAAGGCCAGTCAGATTTTGCAGTGCCTAGACAGCTCTCACTAACATTTATTTCCCAATATAGTATTTGTTAGAATTTGAAGGCATCCAACCCAAAACCAATTGGCTATGGATGGAGAGACCTCTAGACTATATGAACCTAGATTGGGTGGCTTAGAGAAGTGATGTGGGACAACAACACTCTTTTGCACATGCGACCCAGTTGCACATGGATATAGAGAAGTGAACTAAACAGACCCAGGGTGGCTAGTTGGCCCGTGACATCACCCAAGACTTAGGTCTGATACCGTGTTAGAATATTAGATAGATCCGACCCAAAATCAATTGGTAATGGGTGGTGAGGTCTCTAAACTATATGAACCAGGCTTGGGTGGTTTAGAGAGTCATGAGGTGCACGTCTCTAAGGCCACATTTGATTCATGGACAGAGGATTAGGTGGGATAAGTAATCCTGAGAATAACACTTAATGCAAATTTCTAAAAAGCCCTCCTCGAGATACGTTGTCCCACCCCTCTCTTGGAGAAAATAATTTTACATGTGGGATAAAAAGCCCCCTTGGGATTAGTTGTCTCAGGTTAGAAAGTTTGAACCAAATGCAGAATTATTTTAGCCCAGGATTATTTTATCCAGTCCTGCTCCCCTATATGTGAATCAAGCGTGGCCTAATAATTTTGATTGCTTCACTTGCTTCTACAATTGCGATAATGTAATTTAAATAATCCTCTTATTGAGTAATTGTACACTATCAAGTCTCATTTTCACACAAGACACCTATGCATGTTACATGTTTGATAGATTAACCTGAGTTATTTGCCTACCTTGAAGGTATTTGTCATATAAATATATTTCATATTCTTTATGGAGTTTTCAGTCTATTTGATTTGCATATTCTCTTTAGGTTAGAGAGCTTGATGCGAACATTAGATGGGATGACATCGAAAATACTAATATTCTCTCAAAGATGGACCAATTTAGAAAATCAGTCAGGCCATTCAAGAAAGTTATAATCCGTCGGAAAAGCATAGAAGGAACTGTGGTGAAATATCTTCTTGATTTTGGCAAGAGAAGAATTATCCCTGATATTGTTGTGACTCAAGGAACCAAGGTGGAAGAATCTTCTAGTGGAAGGAAGAAATATTGGTTGGAAGAATCTCTTGTTCCCTTGTATCTCTTGAAATCTTTTGAAGAAAGGAGAATAGCCCGCAAATCTAACAAGACGAGTCCCAAGAAACTTCAAGGGAGTGGTAGAGTAACAAAGAAAACCTCAAAGAAGAGGGGATTCTCATACCTTTTTGCAAGAGCAGAAAGATCTGAGAATTATCAGTGTGGGCACTGTAACAAAGATGTTTTGATCAGGTATCAAATGATTATTTTATCCCACGAATTATATTATGCAGTTTTTAGGGTTCTGGTATTGGCTGGACATTTTCTTTTTTTTTTAAAACTCCGAATTCAATTATTATGATAGTATTGGCTTGTGGATATCTAGCTAAATCTTAGTTTTGAGAATGAGTTGCAACTATTGTTAGTGGCATGTGGTTTGTGGGGACAAAACATTGGAAAATTTAAGCAAAGACAAACATCTCAGGAAAGAAAGTGTCTTGTTAGCATGCTTTTGATGTGCTCTTGTGAATGTGTTGTATAATGAGCATATTTTGTGTCTTGTTAGCATGCTTTTGATGTGCTCTTGTGAATGTGTTGTATAATGAGCATATTTTTTTATTCAAAAATTAAATAAGAAATTTCAGAATGTCTTAAAAACCAATATTCGAAATTTAAGTATGTGTCTCTATAAGTACTGTTAATAGTTTGGTATTAGGGTAATTTATATTTAAATGAAAGACTGCAGTTTGTCAAGGGATTTGGTCCCAAGTAGGAAAATATATATAGAGTATAAAACATGTCAAACTTTCAAAATGAAATAATGTTGTGAGCCATAGTTGTCAAAATGGGATTTATATTGTGAATTGATATCCCTTTTTTAAAAAAAAAAAAAAATTAAAAACAATTTTAGGCATAGAAATCAAATTTGTATTATAAAATTGTACAAAATGGTAGCATATTATTTTTTAGTGGTGTGATCACATTATCTAGTATGAAGCACAAATACAAACACACAACATGGACAGAGATGACCTTTCTCTAAAAATTAGGACACAGACATGTTAGGGATATGTTGAATAAAATATATATTATAAATTCATATAAAAAACCAACATTATTAAATCAAATTAGGGATAAAATTTTTTTTTTTGCAAATATAATAATATTATCAAGATATCAAAACAACGAAAGCACTAAATGAAATTTTAAGAACTAAGCATCCATGGCATTTTATATTTAACCATCACTCAAAATTCTATAATTTCTTCATTTGACACATAATCAAAAGATTGTCCACCCAGAAATGTTTAAAAGGCCTAGATGTGTAGGATATTGATACGTGAGGCCAGATCAAATATTTGTGCATCATAGTTTAGCATAATGAGCATCTAGCTGATAATCATTGGAGTCATTGGAAGAAGACAAAAGTCATTGAATTTCATCGAATGTCATCAACGTAAGATATAACGTTTCTAGTTTTCTCTCTTTCTCCTTCCCAATTCTTAATATTTTTCCTTTTTAAGATCTAATAGTTGTCATGTGGTGGTTTATTCTCCTCCTTTTCTTTTCTTTTTGAGTATTTGTTTAGCTTATATATAAATATATATTTATAAAAAAAATGTGTGCTTAAAGTGTTATTAGTGTGTCCTTAAAGTGTCTCTTAACATGTTTAGAACATGTCCTTAGCATCTCCTCACCGCACCTCCACTTGCCTGTAATTCAAAAATAATTCCAAGCACTTTTTCACGTGTCCGACATGTGTTCAGAGTGTGTTTGTCTCAAATGTGTTTGACACGTGTTCAAGTGTGTCCGTGGTCTAGATGTGTCCCGATATTGATGCACTAAGAAGCATGGACATGGTGATTTCAAAAAAAATGAGGACATAAACATGGCGGGGACAAGACAATAATATATATATATATATATATATATTTGTTATGTAGATAAATAATGCATTCACAAAAAATCAAAATTAACAAAACTTAACACTAATTCAATTTATATATAACCCCACTCTTAAATTAACTCTGATCGTGTATTTATTCTTTATGGATGATCAATTAATTATTTAAATTTAAACAAAAAGTAACAAACATTTAACATTCAACATTCATCAAAAACACTAAAAAAGAAGGGGGAAAGGGGGAACTAGTTGGCGTGCCCCCTCCATGTCCGCCACCACTACGGCACCTATTTTGGAGTGTCAATGCTTCATAGTTGATAGGTAGGTTTGACAGAGGTTTTTGTTCTTCCTAGTCTAGTACATAAGTTTTTGTATTTTGGACTCATTATCCAGCTTATTGGACCAACTAATAGTCTAGTACATAAGATACCTACGATATATATCTTTTCTTCTATTCAATCCTATATTATACTTCTCCAATGTTTGCATTACTATTGTTGACTTCTTTCTTCAAGAAAGAAGAAAGTGACCCTAGTCATGGTGTTGAGTCCTTACCATATTCATTGACCGATTTCACTGTCTTGACAAGCAAAGGGCTTTTAATTTAACGAAATAGGAGAGCTTGGGTGTATGCACTTCACAAAGGTTCTAGTTGGATATAACATTTCAACTTCATAATGTATTTTGAAGTCAGTTATTTAACATTCTTAAATTTTGTATTTCCTTTGAAGTGTATGCATTGGTAGTTTTTTATTCTACACCAACATTGATTTTCCTAACAATCCATTTAAATCACTATAACCCTCCATTCATTCTGACATGTGTCATCTTAGCATTTGCACATCAAAATGTGGTGTTACATTACCCCTTACTATTAAAAGAGAAAAGACTTAATATATATATACATATATATTTGAGAAACAAATAGTAATTTCCATTCTTATTTCAAATTATTATTTTTTAAACTACTTCAACATCTTCAGCAACTTATCTTGATAATTACATTAAATGTATCCTAGCATTACCACATTAACTATCGTTAACGGAGGTCAAATTCTCTTGTGGGATTTTTATTGCCCGAACACCCTGACCCACACTCACATAACACAGGAACGAAGTTCAATCACAAAATAAGATAGTACCTGCAAAACAAAAAATAAAGATATCAACCTCAAAGGCCAATGTGCAAAACCTCGCATTCTAAAAATAACTGGGTTCAAAATTTCCTTCTTGACTAGAAACATTGGCAAAAAATCACCGTTCTTTATTTTGGATTCTTATAGAGGAAGAGAGAAAATCCTCAGTGTCTTGATAAGAATCTTAGAGATCTCAAATAGTCATGAATAAAAATAAGATGAAGGAGAGGGAAGAATGAATAGAAAATCCTCAGTGTCTTGATAAGAATCTTAGAGATCTCAAATAGTCATGAATAAAAATAAGATGAAGGAGAGGGAAGAATGAATGATATATTTTGAAAAAGAAAGAAAAGATCCCTTATGCCCCAAAATAAAACTTACCAATTAATACCAAAGAGGGGTTGTTTCAAATCAAGTTTTTTTTTTTTTTTTTGGCTTACATGAATGTTACTTAACATTTTTTTGGGTGTTGGGAGCATGGTTTTAAAAAGTGTCCGCAATCATTACGTAACAGTGTCGGTGGTTAGCTATCTTGGGAGTGGGGTTTGAATTGTGAATGTTGGATTTTAATAGCTATAGAAGTAACACCATGACCTATCTTCTCCCTCCTTCCTATTTTGATGGCCCATTTTTCTCATCTTAGTTGTGTGTTGCTTGTGTTCAATTTAAAAAGTCAATTTAGTCGATTTAGTTATATGATTTCCTTAAATTATGCTTTGTGGTTGAATGTGAACACATTCAATGGTTTGAGACAAATGAGGGACAGGAAGGGAGGCAGGTAAAATCTTAGAAGTATATAACTTCCTAGTAAGTGGGAATGTATTGGTAGTGTCTCCTTAAAGGGTTTGGGTTTCAAGAATTATGTTACATATTAATTAGAACATCCTTATTCAGAAATTTCATAATTAAGGAATAAACCAAATGAATGCAGGTTTTTAATTTTTTTAAGAAATCATTTGAACACAAAGTAGAATAACACGTCTAGGGAGGAGTCGCATCCGTGTTGGATGCACATTGGACATGTAAACCTTTTATGCATCCCTAGAAATGGGCTTGACACTTTTGAGACATGTTCTAATGTGAAAGTGAAATTTCAGAATATTATACATGTAAATGACACATCTTGGACAATTTCAGAAGGCCGCAAAGACAAGCTAATATGGGGATCTTAGAAAGACCAATGTTGGACTTTCTTGGGAATGTGACACACCTGGCACCCAAATATGTCATTAAAACATTTCTAAAAGAAGACACTACATATTCAATTATTACAATGTAAAGTATGTGACGGTTACTTCTAATTTAGGAAAATAATATAGTAGCAAAGGTGAATAAGGAATGTAATGAGAAAACATCAATAGTAGTATCCATTACAGTCATGATCTTGTGGAGCTTCACCTTTCTTCTTTTGCACTTGTAAATACAAATACTTAAAAAATTAACTTGTTACATATTGCTTGTCATAAACGGTCTTATGTTGTTGATACCGTCCATTTTTATTTATTTATGTTAGTACTATTGTTGTCGTTATTGTTCTATTTTATTTTATTATTTATTTATTGGTATCATGTTATCTATCGTCGTTTTTTTGGTGTATATATTATGGTTTTCCGTAGTAAAAGTATGTATAAGAGCGTACATCATTTTAGAACTCATCATCCCAATATTATATTAAGATCTAAAAGAAATCTCTCTCTAGTGAACATTGATACTTTGGTCTCTTAGTTTCGTTATCTATGTTGGTGGCAATTTACATACATTTGATGTAGTTGGTATATTAGGGGAGAGGAGGTTGTCCTGTTGAAATTATAAGGTTTATTTTTCCTTGAAATAGAACTATAAATTAAAATTACCAAGAAGTGAAAACATAAAACGGTAATTGTGGTAAGGTTGCTTAGGGAAATTATGTTGTGGGTCTTTAGAATGCTATCATGAATGCGTATGATATCTTTATGAAGGAGTTGAGGTTTGAGGTGAACGAAGCAAATTGGCTTTAATTCGGGAGAGATTGTTGATTTGTATAGGGCTTTGAATTTGTGCATCTTTTTTAAATGTCAAGAGATAAAGAAATGTGGGTGAGTGGTACTGTCTATTGGTGTGTAAGAGATGCATTGGTATCTAGCTTTTTACAGAAGATTATGTGGTTGGGAGTTGGAAACCACCATGCTGTTAGTTGAAAAGATCTATAAGGTGAGTTTACTTGAATACTTTGTATGTTATGGTTTCAAAGTGAGGTATTAGTGATTTGTATATTATGAATTTCTGTTCTGGTATTTAAGTGATTGATTTATTGGCTGTTAAAAGGTGAAGGTGACAATGATTCCTCTACCTCTTGAGGGTGCCTTCTTTACTGGTATTGTGGGGTGCAACAAATGTTTGACGGCCAATCATCAACCAGTAGAAACTTTCATACTGAAAATAGATGCATTATTTGTAGGATATCTGGGCTCTCTCTCTCTCTCAGTGGTCTTGCCTCAACCAACATATTACTTGCTTTTGAGTTGGTCCTTTTTTATGATCAAGAAAATTAGAAGGGTTTGGAATAGGGATCTGTGTGCTTTTTTGGGGTCATTTGGAAGGATAGAAATGAAAGAAATTCTGAAAATTTATAAATATTAAATTTAATTTGACAATTTTTATTTTTTTAATAATTTTTTCTTAGTTTCAGAATGTTTAGGAGTTGTGTGTCCTGTTGATCCTTTGGAAATCTCAGCTAGTGAATTTCAACTTGTGTGCACCCAAAATGTATGTGCACCCTCTAAGTAAAACCTCTATTCATACTTGACTGTTGTTCTTATAATTATTTGAGTAACTTAAAGTTTTACCACTTGTGTAGTTGACAGAATAAAACCTACTAAGATTTGGTTTGCCTTGTTTAACTTAATAGCAATTCCATTTCTTGCAGTCGTTTTAATTTTATTTTTTATTTTTTTTTTCATTTTCAGGGAAGCTGTGAGCTGCCAGTATTGCAAAGGTAAATAATTGATTATAAGGAAATATTTTCTTGTTTGTGCTTTGTAGTTTTTGTTCTTTGGTTTATGCTTTCAGATTTGGATTGCACTTATCATACCATTGATTTTTTGGAGAGATATCCATTGGTAGAGATGGGAATTGTTTGGCAACCTGTCTCGCCGTCTCGCCAATGCTGTCCAACCTTTGAAAGGAAACTTTCATACTGTTTGTCTTGTCTAAAACTTGGTTCTGGACTTTGTTTGGTTGTTGAGTTCAAGTCTGTGTTGCTACTGGCTTGACCAATCTGTAGAATCCAGGTTGTTGCATCTTGAGGAATTTATAATGAAGTTGGTGACTTAGTAGGAGATTGGCAGGGTTCTCTAAAAATTTTGTTATTCTTTTCCAAAAGAGAAGAATGCCAAAATATCCATTTGCCCTTATGCATTTGTACTCAAGGGGAATGGAAAGACCAAAATCCTAGTTGTTGATATATTGAAGGGTTAATACACCAAGAGCCTTTTAACTATATCACTTTACCCTCTCATCAATGAACTTGTACATTTTGACCCTGTCAATTATAAAAATTGTTCAAATGCTCCCCTTCTAGAGGGGGTGGAAATGATGCATTTTTGTAGTTAAAGGGGTCAAAATATAAGGGTTCATTGATGAGGGGAGTAACGTGATATTTACTAATAGTTAAAGAAGTCTTGGTGTAATTAACCATATATCGAATGAGATGTTAGATTTGGAGTCCTTTCTTGAAACATGAAAATTTTCAAGCTAAATTCAAGTGGTGAAGTTAAAATTTTGTTGAGGTTTGTACCACATACATTTCTTTCTTGCTTTTGCTTTTGCTTTATTTTTTCTTTTTCTGTTGTTGGGCCTAGTGGCCTGATCTCTACTGTTCGTATTTTTATTTTCTACAGTTTTAATTTTTAAGTGTTTCATCTGCAGTTCTTTCATTACAATTTAATGTTTTGTTGTTTATTCTATGTTGTTTTCAATTTTGTGATACTTTTCTACGTTGCTGCTGTTGAATTGACGAAGGAAAGACAAACAATTTATGCCATCTATTTTGGGTTTACGTTTCTGATTATGCTGAAAATTGAGCAAACTAGTTAGGGTTAGGGCCATCCGATTTTTACACCTGGATGGTTCATAAAGTCAGAAATTGAGCAAAGTTGGTTTTAGGTCTTTTGGGCATCTGTTATGATGACCTGATGGGTATGGACAACTGAATATTTGCATCCCTTCCTGCTGGCATGGAGTGGTTGCAGCATTTTATTTTTCCTTTTCTTTTAATTTTTGCGAATGATGTGTTTAGGTACTTGATAGGGATCCACAAACCTTGTATAAACTAATGTGTTTCATCAGTGTGCTTTGTACAATTTTTTAATTTTATTTTTGTTTGTGTTATAGATTCTACTGCAGTTTTAAGCTGCATATTGTTGTTCTTCATTTTAAGTTGGCACATAAGTCATCTATTGACTTCTTAATAAAGTACAAATGGCTTAATGCTGCCATGGCTGTTGTTTATACCCCGCAGAATTGGGACTGTGTTTTAAAATACTTGGATATATTTTATGTCTATGAAATCTGGCTTCATGCCACTCAAAATTGGTTCTTCTAACATTTGAACCTGTTGAATCAGTTGATTTGGTGGATGATCCTACTTGATTATCGGTTGCATATCCTCAACTTAAGTTTAAAACTTGTAAATATGTATTTGTGTTATGTGGAGAGAGAGAGAGAGAGAGAGAGAGAGAGAGAGAGAGAGATGTTATTATGGATTGGCCTGTATATTTTGGCCAATTCCTTACTGAAAGTTGGGGAATACATTGGGTACTATACTTACTAAGTTACTACTCAACATCACAAGAATAGTTTTCGAGGACAGCACATATAACTTTTTTGCTTCTATTTGTAAATGACATTTTCTTGTTAAACCCTTCAGAGTACTGCAATAGATGTTATTTTGGATTGGCCTGTATATTTTGGCCAATTTCTTACTGAAAGTTGGGGAATACATTGGGTACTATACTTACTAAGTTACTACTCAACATCACAAGAATAGTTTTCGAGGACAGCACATATAACTTTTTTGCTTCTATTTGTAAATGACATTTTCTTGTTAAACCCTTCAGAGTACTGCAATAGATTTGAGGAACTGAGATCTCCAAGAGGGTTTCTATACCTGGTGGTTTGATACTAGGTTGTTTTAAATATATGCATATACATATATATTCTAACTGATACTATATATATTGTGATAGGTTTTTTGTCAAGTTTTATTTTCTATAATAAGTAAGCATGGTTGTATTATGAATTTCAGGCTTTTTCCATAAGAGACACGTGAAGAAGTCTGCTGGAGCTGTCACTGCTAGATGTAAATACACATGCCACAAATGCCAGGATGGGGACCGTGTGAAGGTTGAAGCCAAGAAAGGGAAATCTCAGTCACAGAAAAGTAAGAAAGCCTCCACTGTCTGCAGGGTATTGCGCTCGAAAATGAGTAAGAAACCCGCCAAAGATCAAAAACCATCACAGCAGCAGAAAAATAGAAAAATTGCTGTAGTTTTACCTCTGCGGCGTTCGGCTAGGAAAGCTAAATGTGTGACACTGCAGAATAAAAAAGTTGGAGGTCGCAAAAAAGGGAAAGGGAAAGGGAAGGCAAATGGGAAAGCGAAACAAATCAAACCCAGAAAGGAGATATCAAAGAAACCAAAGGAAGGTACTTGGAAGAAGAAAAGAACACCCGTGTATCATACTTACTGGTTGAGTGGTCTCCTGTTGTCTAGAAAACCAAATGATGAACGAGTTATGCACTTCAGGAGTAAAAAACTTATTGCCCCTTCTGAGCACATTACTGCAATCCATGGTGAACCAAAATGCAGTCTCTGTTGTGAACAGGAATTTTCGTTGACGTTAAACTATGTTGGTTGTGAAATCTGTGGAGGTAAATATTTCCATGTTCTGATATCTATTTTTGTTTTCTTTATTATTTTGTTTATTTAGTTTGTGTGTTTTGGATATCTTGGGCCTCTGAGGCAGCAAAATTTATCAGTTCTTAAATTTCTTATAATTTAGAGAATACATTCTCTTAAGATTTACTACACTGTTTTCATATATTCTGCAGATTGGTTTCATGGAGATGCTTTTGGGCTTGGAGTGGAAAACATCGATAATCTCATTGGATTCAAGTGCCACAATGGAGATGCTTTTGGGCTTGGAGTGGAAAACATCGATAATCTCATTGGATTCAAGTGCCACAAGTGCCGTGATAGGACCCCTCCTATCTGCCCCCATTTCCACCGAAAGACAATTGACGAAGACGTATTGGTTGAGTTAAATAATACGGCAGGGACTGAATGTGCTGAGGAAGTCTCCAATATTGTTGCACTTCCAACTGAGTATGTTGTTTTCATGATGAATCAAAAAAGCTCTCGTTGGGTAAGGACCCAGAACTGGGAACTGTTCCTGATTCAAATGACTTGAATGCAAAAAATTCGCACTTACCTGTACGTGTGGAGCAGAAAGGAGAAGCAATTCAAATTCCCAGTGAGGCATTTAGACCAGACTTATCAATGGAATCCAATGAGCATGTTTCGTTGGTAGAAAATACGACTGATTTGGGCACAGAACACATTGGAGCTGTGACAACTTTTTTTGAAACAGAATTCCCATTGCCCAAGTCTGATGTTGATGTCAGAGACACAGAAATGGTATCAGTGGGGCATGAGATTGCAGAGAATGATTCAGCCTTAACAATGGAATCCAATGAGCATGTTTTGTTGGTAGAAAATACGACTGATATGAGCACAGAACACATTGGAGTTGTGACTTGTGTTGAAGCAGAATTTCCATCGTCCAAGTCTGATGTTGATGCTATAGACACAGAATCGGTATCAATGGTGCCTGACAATGTGGAGACTGATTTGGCTGAAACAACCAGTTTAGGGTCACTAGCACATAAAACTCTTGCTGACTCATCTGAAGTGCCTCCTCAAGAATTGTGGCATCTGGTGAAATAGTGGATGGTGGAGAAAAGGTGGTGTAGGTTAGATTTTCAATCTGTACTTTGACCGATGTGATGAGGTTGCCAATATCATAGCAAGAGAAACCATCGGTGAGTCTTCTAATTTCATGGAGATGCGGTTAGGAATGATAGGAAAAAAAAAATCCATTTAGATGTTAGCTGAATTTGAACAGCTTTATAGGGTTGATTCACTTAAAATCAAAAAATAATGAGTTGATTTGAAGATTTGAAACCTTCCATTTCAAGACCTTTAATTTTCTTGTATAAATGATTACTGCAAATGTAGGATTGTTTTTAAGGTCGGAAAATGCTACCGTGGCTACCATTGCACCATAATTGTGTCCAGTTTACAAATGGCTGATATTTTGTGATAAGTGAGAATGCCTGCGAAGGCATCAAAGATATATCTGCATATGTTTGTTGAGCATGTCTGCAAATATTCTCTCTATCCCAATTTAGCTTAGCAGACTTTTTTATTTCTTGCTTTTTCTTTTTCTAACAATTCTATATAGTTCTCACACCAACGGATCTTGGGGGGCTTGGAGTAGCTATTGAGCATTTTATTATAGCTCACCACAAATGCATCTGATACTCAAGTGAGTGAGTAGTGGTGATTCTAACATTGTGCCTAGGCATATGACCAATATCATAGCTCATAGAAGATGATTATTGTGAACATCTGTTACAGAGAAGTGTTGGAAAAAATTTATCATTGTTAAGGATTGAATTTTGTATGAAGATATGATTTGCGAAAATTTTGATTGGTTACCATGTTCATATGATGTTATTGTCTTCTATTTTTTTTTTTTGTGCAAGCTTTAAGATGATGCCTTAACTGATTTGTCTTCTTCTGACATTTTCAGTTGTATTTGTATTTGTTTTCTCATTTTTTGCTTTATTATCAATAATCTTCTTTTGAGGGTGATCAGGGGGGTTCGAGGGTCATTCATTTGAATATGAATGTCTTGTATGCAAGATATTAAATCCTGAAAAATTTGCTTCATTCCCTTTCTAATACTGGAGAGGTCATTCTCTCTCTTACAGTACATTATTTACCTTAACGTTGTTTTTATTTGTAATGTTGGGGAGATGTCTATTTAAAGTGTTGGGTTAGTAGCCAAATTTTGAGTAGCATAGGTTGTATCCCCTACTTAATTGGGTGAAGGTGCACAGTTCCAGTATTTGTGAGATCTATCTATAGAAATGAAACCTTGAATAGTTGGAGCTCTTGTTTAAGTAGAACCATTAACACTATTTTTAAGTGCATGAACTTGTTGCCTAGTAGTTTGTGAACTTTCAGAAATTTAATGAGCCTTGACTGATTCCTTGCCATTTGAGTGAGACTTTTTTCGAAATATGAACATATTTTCTGTTATGTAAACATTTCCATTTTACTTTCATGCTACTCCTTATATGTGAAATTGAGATTCAGATTATTTGTTTTATTTTATTTTGTATTTTATCTTCTAAATGAATACTTGTAATAGATGGATAAGTATATATATAAATATCTAAAGAAGCCACTTGTCTGTTTAATTTGCATTAATTTTAATGTCTTAAAAAGTCCCCATCTTCTCCTGTTCTCAGAAATTACTCTGTGGAATGATACTCTAAATTACTGTGTGGGTTTTGGCGTATTTTGCAATATTTGGCTTCTTTGTGCTGCTTTGCTTGATGTGGCTTTTTCTGGAAGGATTGCCGTAGGAGAACCTTCGAGGCTGTTTTGAGGAGCCTGTTCATAGAATTACTGAGTTTTTTTTCTTGGACATCATTTTCTACACTTGGTCTTCTGGGAGATGGTAATTTAGATTCTGTCTTGTAAGAGTCTTTTTGGTTTTTTTCTAGTGTATAGGCTTATGTTTACTTATATATAATTAATAATAAATAAATAAATAAGAGCAAGTGATATAAATTGCAGAATTTGTTGTAAATCAGTGTTATAAGGAATGTTTATGCTATTCCTCCCAAAAAATAAAAAAAAAAAAAAAAGGGGGGGGGGGGGGGGGATATTTAAGCTTATTGGAATGCTTTAATGCTGTGTTTGGTTGAGAAATTTGAGGAAGGATTTGGAAAAGGAAATAGAAAAGGTAGGTGAAATGTGAATAAAATATACATAAATTTTATTTAGTTTTACATATTTTTTTTCTTTTTCTTTCCAAATTCCTTTTTAAATCTCCTAATCAAACACAGTATAAGTGATAGGCTGCTTATTCCAAATTGTGAGTAATTAGCAATCTTGTTTTTTCAAAGGAGATTTTGTGCAGCATTTCATTCTACTATGGAAAGCCTGTGTCATGTGATTTGTTCATGTCAATCTATTACACTAACTAAATTTTTTATTTTTTATTTTTGGTTATACAGATCTCTCATTTTTATGTTTTATTTTTTGGGTGGTTGTTTAGCACAATAGCGCCTTCCCTTATCTTATCGCTTGCTCCACCATTCTACACTTGACACTATACCTTTAAGAAATCGAAAATAAGGGAAGAAATAATGGAATGTAACAAGTTGCTTTACATGTTATGTTTGTTTGGATTTTGAATTTGTTAACGAAAAGAAAAATGACAAGTACTAAAATAAATGAAATTTTCACTTCATTTACTTTTTTTTTTCTTTTTTTCCTTTTAACAAATGAAAGGGGTTTTCTTTGAAAATTGGATTACTAAGTACGACACCTGATTTAAAAAGATGTAAAAATGATAGTTTATGATTTTATTTTTCTAACACTTAAATTTTTATACTGATTGTCAGTCATTTTGTCCATCCCTTGATTGATGATGAGAAGTTTATAAAAATTAAGTGTTTAATTTATACCATATAATTCGTCTTGTGTAGATTTTGAGAGAGAACTTTTCATGGTTCTTAATATTTTTGAGTTGGAAAAAGCCTGGGACTCTCAATTTGGGGACCCCATGACCTCCAAATGTGTGTGATTGGTCCATGTGTGTTTTCGTTTTCGTTTTATTTTGTTTTGTTTTGTTTTATTTTTTTTCCCTCTCTCTCATAGGATGATGTGGGAGTTATGGACGTGGAGTTTTTGTGAGAGTCTCAATCATTGCTCTTTTGAGTCAATATAGGAAATTTCTTGATTTGATGGTTAAATTTGTACATTAAGCCGTATGTTAATTGACAAAAAATTGAGTGACAAAATGGAAACTGATTTTATGTTAAATGTTTTTTAATTTATAAAATGAATGAGCCCTCCAATAGTGTAGCTAAAATATATGTTTTTTTTTTTTCAATAGATAGGAGAGGGATTATAAATATGAGAAATATTTACATTATCAAACAGAGTACTTAACTCACAATAATAAAAAAGTCAACAAAACTGAACAACCAATAAACCAACTATCTCAAGCCTAATACAACTACCTCCAAGTATATAGGCCTCCATAATAAACCAATTATCCCAAGCCCAATACAACTACCACTAAATAGTAGGAAAAGTTAACAAAGCTTAACGACTAATAAACCACCTATTCCAAGCCCAACACAATCACCACTAAGTACATAAGCCTCCATAATAGGGGAGAGATAAATCACCACAAAGAGTATCAAACTCTTTTTCCCAATCCAACAAAGTCGATAAATCACTACAAAAAGTATTAAACTCCTCTCCCAAGCCCAACACAACCACTACTAAGTACATAAGCTGCTTAGAATAGCGGGAAGTCAACAAATCCTAACAACCAATAAACCTATTACCTCAAGCCCAACACAACCAAAATACATAAGCCACTCACAATAGTGAGAAGTCAACAAAGCCTGTAAAGCCTAACAATCAATAAACCAACTATTCCAATCCCAATACAGCCACCACTAAATACGTAAGTCTCCAAAATGGGAGAGAAATAAATTACCATAAAGAGTATCAAATTCTTTTCCGTAAGAATTGAACTCGAAATCTCACACCAGAAAAAATATTATACAATCACTAAACCAACTGCTCTGAATAGCTAAAATATATCTGTTGATTTGAGTATAAAATTAATAAAATAAATAAAGTACAATTTCCTATCCCGCCCCCTCTTTGTCTCTCCTCCCTCTACACGCAACTCAACACATTAAAACGAGGGGAAAAAAATTGCTAATTATTATTATTATTATTACAAGTTAAACACAAAACACTTTGGAGATGGGAGACGCAGTTATCATTGTGAGTGTTCATGAATCGGTTTGGTTGTACTAAATTTAGAGCCAACATAATTATAATTTGTTTCAAATTTTTAGATTTAGAACCAAAACAGTTATGCATTTTTTTTTTGATCGGCAAAACAGTTATGCATTAGAACCAATCTAACCCAATCTAATCTAATTCAGGTTGATTCGAGTTAAAATCACGGTTCTATTATATTAAAAATGAGTTGATAAATAATTAACATAACAAAAACAAAGAATAAAATATTATTTAATGTAACTTAATATAAATTAAATTAAATTGTGAAATCCAACTAACACTCCTAATACTTCCCATGTTCACCTAATACTACGTCCATAATAGACTAATTAGAGGGAGATTTGTCAATATAAATAATATATATATAGATTCGGGTAGACTCGTTTTAGAAGAAGACTAAACTAAAAACTAACTCCATCATATCAAGTTGGTGATTTGAAAACTTTTTAAAAAAAACTAATGCACTTAAAAACCAATCACCTTGCTTGTTTTTATTTTTCAAAAAATATTTTTCAGAAAATTTTATTTTTTTATTTTTCGTGTTTTTTTATTTTTACTGAATTTTTTTAATATATTAAGTAATTTTTTTACTTTTTAGACACACCTAACATAAATACACTTAAAAAATAAAAAAAATTATAAAAAAAATCTTTTAAAAATTCACTAAATACCAAAAATAAAAAAATACAAGAATTCAGTATATTTTTTTGTATTTTTATGTACTTATTAATTTTTTCACAAATTTTTTACTTTTTAGATACATCTAAGTAAGGTGTATTTAAAAAAGTAAAAAAAAATGTTTAAAATTTTAAAAAAAT